TATTCTATACCATATAGCTGATTGCGACGGTTCGTTAGAGCGAGTTTTGTCTGTCTCTGCATGCATATTATTGTTTAGAGCCGCTAGTATCTGCCGAGGGTCACAGAATATACCAATTTCGCCTCTCCATATGCCTCGCTGAGCTCTTCATAGTATCATGATATCAGTGAAGGGCCTGTACGTGATGTTCGCTGACTCGTATCAATTAATCAGATTGTAATTAATAATAAATTTTATCTCATAACCCTTCTATGATAGGATGAACGCCATTGACTTACTTACCGACTTATTTGCATAGCTAATGATTGTCAGAGATCTGTATATCCTTTCCGAGTGACATTTACTAACTCCGATATGTATGGCGAGCATACGAAGCCACTTGGCTGTAGGCATATTATCAGATCGTAGTGATACGTAGACTTGTATCGAATAGTAGCCCGTGTACGTTACATAAAGTACTTTCGCTGTCTACTTTTCAGTTCAGCGTCCTATTTGATGTGTCAGTGCATAGCTCATTTCGCAAGGTCGCAAATGGGTATATATGCTATGCCCTCGGGATAGCCAAAACCTATGCATAGGGTCACTGTCGCTTTCACGGTACATTTGCGTCGTCGTGCTGGCTTACTGTGCTTACGCCTTTGATGTATCAGTCTATATGACCAAGCAGGGCACAGGCCATACTGCAGCGATATTGGCAAGCTGGCCGCGCGTCTGTCACCTGTATTCAACGCAGTATCTACGCGCGCGGCGGGTACACCTTATAGCTGTCCGCGACTGAGCCGAGCTCTTATCTTGACCATTATGGACAGGGCACTAAAGTATAGTACTGCGTACAGACAGCTCGACTTACCACACCCACCGGTATTGTTTGCGCTACCGCACACGTGCTCGTATCTATGTAGACAGCAACTTAATCGTCGCGTGTAGTGCTCACTCGATGCTGTAGTTTCGATTTGTGAGCGCACATTAATGGAGCATACGCTGTGAGCGCTGATGTCACAGATAGCATGGTTAGCATGTATCCAAGTGAGCGAGTGTACTCTCGATCTATTGTTATGCGGAAGCCGATAGGGACGGTCAGCTTGCAAGGGTTCGCAGTAGACACCATGCGCTAATTATTATTTGAAACGCGCTACCCTCTGTAGATGCGTCAACACTATTGGCAGCGCCATAGTCAGCTCACCGTTAATGCGGCCCCAAGCCTCGCACCGTCAGCCAGTATACCAAAAACAAAAATAGGTAGGAAATGGGGGCCTAAAAGGGTATATTTACCAATTACTTGCTCTTCTGCTGCTTCTTTTGCTCGATCTACTTGGCGTTTCGGGCGGTCAGCTTGCGAGGGCGGCTGCGCCTCTTTTTCCTCTTGGGGTACCAGTCAGGGCCCATCGCCTTCATGGCGTTTGCCAGGCTTTCCTGGCGGCGCACGTTGGTCGAATCAGGTGGTGGGGGCTTTTCCTCCCAAAACTCAACCGCTTTTGGGCCGTTCTCGCAGGCAATACAGCGCCGCACGATGTCCCGCCCGCTCATTGTACAGAGCGCGTAACCCTGCTGCAGCTTCCCACAGCAGATGCAGCGCGCCAGTGGGTCCATCGTAGACCGCTGCGGGTTCAGCAGAAGCGGGTCAATCTTCGCCTCGCACTGCTTGCACGTAGGGCCCACCATATTGCAAACTGTGAGTAAGTTAGCAAAACTTATTGTTTTAACCAATTACTTGCGTCAAAATATTAGCCAATAGCACGGTACTGTGAGGCTGGTATTTATTATTAGGCAAAATATTAAAATGTTTCTAAATATTAGTATTTGGCTTAGCTTTAATATATTATTATCAGATTTCCAAACAAATACATACTTTACATGCAATATAAATGGACTAAAACAATTATCTATCGTGCGCGCATGCATTCGTCGGGTACGGTGCACGGGAGCAGATACCGCAATGACCGTGCAGCCGCGCGCCTTCATTGCACGGTGGCAGTGTTGAGTGCCAGGTGAAGTAAAATATATATATTCGCAAGGTCCCTACAAAAAGCGCTGGTCGTGAAGCCTACTTTATTATTTAAAAATACTATCGTCTCTACTTTAGAAAGTCTGTGGAAAATAGCATCGCCGAGCTCTTACAAATGCGGCCTGTGATACTTATATTAATATCGTCTTTACTTTGAAAAGTGTGTGGAAAATAACATCGCAGAGCTCTTACAAAATACTGGTCTGTGAAGTCTACATTAATAATAATAAACATCTCTATTTGAGAAGTGTGTAGAGCTCTTAGAAAATAAAGTGGTTACTGTGCCCGATTTGCAGTACATACGACAGGTTTTGCGTAGCTAAATATCAATAATCAAGTATCTGCGCAGCTCGCCTGGCTGTTTGCGACCAATCGATGCGTTTCGTGCTCAGCAGAAATGTTTACATCACGTCCAATCGCGAGGGCGATAGACGTTCTGATCGTGCGACAGATCCAGTCAGTGTCGCAGGTCGGCAGGTATTGCACAATCAGTGCGCGAATTAATTGTGTGACGCTTTTGGGTATATTTGTAATTTTGGCATAGTTAGGTCGAGTCAGAAAGATAGGTGCGGTCGGTAGGATGGGAGGAAACTCTATTGGAAAGGCCGAATGTAGCCATGCGAAAAGGCAGGAAAAAGCAGCAAGAAAGGGAACGGACGGACTGACAGACGGACGGACAGGTTACAAGGTTAGAAGCGGAGCGACTAGCGCTCTGGGCGCCCGCTCCGCGGACGCTAGGGCATGGCTGATTGGTGTAGAGAGGGTTGACCACCTCCGCTGCGCTGCGGTGAGCTCAGAAACCCTTACTCAAAGCAAAACTCTATTTAGAATATAAAATATAATGTGTTCAAGCTATGTTGCGTTGCAACAAACGATGTACACAATATCCTTAGTGTTTACGTGTTCTACATCACCAATTGCCTGTCAGCCTATCTCTTGTATTATTTGAAGTCATTTTTGACAGCCTCACTTATAAAAGGTCTGCGTGACGACTGGCTGTTACAAATAGATACCCGCGTGATGGATGGCTATTGTTGAGCATCATGGTACAGGTAGACGTGACAGTAAACTATTGTGAAGATGAAGTCTTCGCCGCTACCACCGGGGCTATAAGTCATCTGCATGATGAACACTGTCTTTCCCTAAAAGATTTTGTCTTAATTCTCGGCTGAGCGCTCCGCTCCTGAAATGCCACACTTTCAGGTGCGCTTCATTGCAAAGTTACTTTCGGTTATTTAGAAGGTGGATCAGTATTATTGGTGCGCCAAACCTCAGCATAAATCGGTGAGGAGATCTCAGATAAGTTTAGCGCTAGTAAATACGACGACCGAAGTGTATTGGGATACAACGACATCGGGCATTTCTAGACACCATTTCGATGAAATGGTCGCTCGCTCGCAGCTACATCCAAACCGGAAGTCTGCGCTTGCTGCAGTAAATCGGTGCTCGTACCCAGCTGCTGCTGTAGACCCTTTCTACCGACGCTGGTGCTCAATGCAACTTCATGGTTTATTGCAATAAAAGGAGATCAACGGGCACTTGGGTGGTGGATAGAAGTTTACCTGCCGGGTGAGCGATTGGGTGCCGCGGTTTACGCTGCTGCAGCCGATGGATATGTCGAAATACTCAAGTGGTTGCTCGAATACCATCGCGAACGGATCTACTGGACCTGTGTCGAGATGTGTGGAGCATTTGATTATAGTCATGATGAGACTGTGCAGTGGCTTATGACGCCTTCACCACCCCGCCCAGAATGTGATGCCATCAGCTGCAAAGACGGGGAACTCAACAGTAGCTCGGTGGCTATACAATTAG